CAAACAGAAAAGTTGTTACTCCCGGATGTTGACTGTTTTACTTTCCCCTTTTCTGTACCTGTATTTTTTCGCTCACCCATGATTACTTGGCGCCTTATCTGTAAAGATTGGTGTTACATATATATATATATATATATAACTAAGATCTGATGCATACGTGCATACACACACTGTCTCCCTCCGATCCGTGCACGTGTGTGCGCATTCGTACGTTAACTGCAACGCAGGTAGCAGTGAGATGTTCTGGGAACAGCCTAGAGAACGGGGTTGAAGCGATACTGGACACAGGTCACTGTTACGGAAAGACACTGGTTTTCTTAGATTCGGGGTCAGAATGCACAGCAGTTTATTTCGTAATCCACTGTTGCAGTAGCGCACGTAAGCACACACCTAATCGCACCTACAGACTGACCAACGAAATTACCTTCATGATCATGACGTCCAGTATGCTTACCCACCAGGTTGCCCGATTGATAATGTAACCAAATTGTCAAATGGGTTAATCGGGTTGATTTAAGTGCCTAGCAAAGGCAATGGGCTTGAGATGACTCAGCTATGATATTAGGCTTAGTCCTCAAGGAGTTAGATTAGGCAAGCACTATTTCGACAAAGGTCTTACCAACGAGAATGCCACTGATAGTTGACTGTGTGAAGAAAACCGCGAATGCGATAGAGATATTTGCGTGTGAATGAAATAAAAGTGGGATCTGTTTGTCTTGGATAGTTGATCGATTTTGTTAGAGACTAGAATTCATGAGCACTGCGGCAACTGACCCTGGTCGGTCAGGTATGAATCGATAGACCGTTTACCATTATTCAGGCCTGAGCGTGGGCATGGATTGTTGGATACGTTGTCATGTCGCGAAAAATACCACTAAGACCATTCCTTTCTAGAGCTAATTTTCGAACATCGAAAGATGTATTCAAAAATAGGCCGAACACTGGCTGAGAAACGTAAAGAGGGAAATTGTGACGTTTGCATTAAACACCAAAACAAGAAGTGATTTTTGGAGATTTTCAAGTTCTCAATGAGAATCCGGCATATGGTGAGCCTACGATACATATTGACCTATTTTAGTTGGCAACATATTGTAGCAACTGTAGTCACATTTTTTGAAGTCAATCTGGGAATGATGTGAATAAAACCGAAACTGGTTGACTTGGAGGGTCAGTACTGCATAACACCATCAAGACAAAAGTCACTTCTCACTCCCAAGCATTTATCCGCTTTAAAGGAATTAAAGAACAAGTCCGATTTGGTCATTTTAAACCCTGATAGAGGTTCTGGGGCTATCCTGATGGACCGTGCAGATTACCAACGAAA